CGATTTAGAGGTTGATATTATGCCATAATGTCTTATAACATTAGATCCAACATTACATATAGACTTCTATCCATAACGGGTGTTTTTTATAGATAGTGTCTCAATATATTGTTGTTTTTAAACGTCTCTTTTATAACATGCCTTTTAAGAATATTTAGTCACTGCATTTGATTCAGTTCGACATGGCATACCTAGTAGCATATATGGTACTATACATTTTTGTATACACAGTTGGTCATTTTAAGTTGAGTTTACTCTTATTTATTTTTAATTTAAGAAGGGACAATGCACATTAATCAACATGAGCACTTCATGTTAATGTGCCAGATTTAGTCATAGAGGCTAACTTTCATCTGCAAATAAAAGTTGGGTTGATAAATAATGATACAATAAGCTGCTGTGATAGACTAACTTTAACCGTCAGGCAGGGATTTTTCCCAGAGTTCAGATTTTCACTTAGGATCTTACACAAGTTACAAAAAGTTCCACACTCTCACCAACATGTAGCAGGCTGATGGACAACAAACACTGTTTCACAGGTGCAGCTAATTCCAGCAGCAGCACCTTTCTTTACATTGCTTTCCCACCTGGCATATACTATGGCCTCTACCAGCACCATTACACAGGGAAGGGCACATTCCCACAATACATTCAATCAATATATTAATGTAGTCTTACTCATATTCCCATATACAAAATACAAAGGAATATTGCCTAATACAGAATACAAACTTAAGATATGCCAAACCAAAGCCAGTTTAACAAACAAACCTTCTACCCCCTCGCTTCCTTGACTACTTGGTTCAGTCTAAAGAGGTCATTGGCATCAGCTGGAGTCGTGTGGCTGCATTCTCAGGTGTGTGCACTCTATGAAAATACCCTTAAAGAGCGATTGATTAGTAAGAGATGCCAAAATAAAAGCACAATATAACAAACATGGACATCCTGTATTTGACTGTTTTGTTATTTTTACATAATTAGAGTGCCAGTGGGTGTTTTTCTTCACCTTTGTGTGGGTGATGCACGCCAGCTATCACAGGCAAACAACATATCTGTAAAACCTGTTAGTAATATCAAGTATAAAAGACCAGCAGTGCCAACAGTGTACTACCTTCCTGAAGCTTGTAGTACTTGCATTGGGATTGATTGTAAAGTGCTCTTTTGTCCAGTTTTGTGTTTTACCCTGTATCCATGACTCATAGAGCTTTTTAGATTATGAAACAGATCGAACGTAGAGAGCTGGAGGTTAGTGTCTATTTATAGGTATGATCTCATATGCAACTTTTTAATCCTGCTCCTTATGCCCACATGCTGTATGACACAGGGGCCCGCAATATACAGGGTGATGTAACAGGTTAGTGCAGTTTTCGATATGTTGAAGATAAGTATATGAACTCTAATCTACCAACAAGCCTGACTATGATCTCTGCTGTAAAGCTGTGGAGGCATTCATCAAAATAGTAACATCTGTATTCGTGAAGAGCGTATCATTGAGTGTTGTGGGAGGATAAGTGCATCACTCTGTGTATTTATAATGTAGTGTGTATTTAAGTGTGTGTAATCTCACATCGCATAAATAGATTCAGTAACAAAATATGGGGAGAAACACATTTTTTGATTATGTGTTTTTATTGGTATACATATTTGCTTTCTGTCACAACACTGTCCATCATAAATCACTGCTTTGGTTGCCTTTTTTATGACCTTGCTCATTACACAAGCACACACACACACTTTCATCTTCAAGACAAGGTCAGTAAATAAGGCAACTTAAGATGACGACAAGTATCATTGCATGATGCAAATATCACGGTGCTTAATCATAAGTAATGTGGTGTATTAACTACGTCTCATTTGCCATGAATACTAAAACATCCCATCCTTGTCAGACGGTTCTCTGTAATTACACTTCTCAAACATGTGTCTAATGAGGGAATAACCTTGTGATCAAATGAACGCTTTAAAAAAAACGTGTTATGAACTCCCAATGCTCTTTACTGAACTTGCATATAACTACACAGTATAGATTTCCAACACTTATGCGAAAACAATCTTTATAAAAACTAGCCAATTTATTAAATATAGAACAATCTCCAGATAAGCACGCAGTATGCTGATTATTCTGCCGAGATAACATTACGTCCTTAAAAGCTTTCAGTGTGTCGCTGCTTCATGTCATACAGGCATTGTCCCAGGCAATATGAAATATGGAGAATATATTATCTATTGATATGCAACTAAACTATTATGTATATAAAGCTTACAAATCAGGCCTTATCTCTCATTGTATTGGTTTGTAAAACCCTACAGTATCATTTTATCCTAAACTAGACAGATTTCCTCTATAAAACTATTATATCCATTCATAAACATGTAGATTTTGGTTGTGTAAGCCAGTGCAATCAGAGAGTTGCTCTACTCCTTTAAGGATCAATCATGTGATACTACGCACACGAGAACCCCCCCCCCCCCACACAGAGCAATGCAAAGATTTGATTGGCTGAAACCTGTGAATGGCAAACATTAATGATTAACATTCATGTCACAACACTGCAGTTTCATTCAGTTCTTGGTTCCATTTGGTGGGCGCTATGCAATGTTGTGCCACTGGAGGGCGCTCACACATAACCCAGCAGTATGCCTTCAGCCCTTCAGTAACATGGACTAATTGTATGAGGCACTATGTTAACATAAAAGACGTGGAGACATTGTTTAAAGGGATAAATAATCAGATATACAATGTAATGGGGTGTTTCAAACACTAAAACAGATACACAAACACGTTTGTGCATTAATCTCTATCAGTGACTTAATAAATGAATAAAATACATTCAAATTAGAAGTAGTAATACATTGCAACTATGATAAAACACAACTCCACACCAGAACATTAGTATCACAATATGTCATTTTTCAAGCTGATTAATCATACAGGTAACCATTTCCCCTGTCTAATAGCAGCAAGACAATTCCTATGAGTGATCAGATCTAAGTCCACATCCACAGACTTAGCTCTCCCTTCACTAAAGCTAAACTCAATAATACATTCCATATGAATATTATGGGGGGGTGAATATCTGAGATATAAAAAGTAGATGATAATGATCTGTCAACATAAATTACCTACATGCATGTCCTAATTTGTCAGCCCTCAGAATATAATTATGAAATATTTCATTTCATACATGTTTCCCTCTTCCTCGTCTCCTTTCCTTCCAGATACAAAAGCTTCACTCGCTTCACTCAAGTGAATAAAGACGGACACTCATTTATAGCTTTTAAAAGCACCAGGGTCTTTCATAATATACTGAGACCCTCTGCGAAGACATCACGCCTTCCGGTTTAGGGCTGACCTACATCTATACACAGTGCTTTATTGTAACTATTACCTTTTTTTATTAATAAAATACAATCTGAAACTGGCAAATGTGTAGTCTCCTGCCTAGAGTATTGTCTGCAAGTTTGCTTTTTTTCCAAACTTGACTAATCTATAATAAAAATAATAAAAATCACAGGTAATATCAGAAGCACAGATATCCATGTATCAAGAGTATAGTCAAACTAGACAACAACTATCATGCCAAGTCTATGTTTATCTGACAGGTGTACAGATAGTCATGATAATATTTCCTCACTATGTTGTGTGGTTAGATACAGACTTATCTTGCCATATGATTTGATTGTCTATAAACTAAATGTCAGAGAGAGAGAGAGGTACCAGACTAAGGAAAACAAATCGGTAAACAAATAATAAAGTCTCTCTATATAAATATAAACTCTAGAATTGTCTGATAATTATGGAATTTGTCAGCGCTTGATCTATGCACACAAATATAAAACGGCAGTCCTGGAACAAATCGTTTGTCCCGATCTAGGATCAGCTTTAGCCTCCCTGCTGTCTTACATTTTCCTGTAGGGCAGGAAAGGTCAAATTAACTCCAGGTCAGAGTCTAGAAGCAACTATACCAGTCTATAAAACGCGCATAAAAGTGAGAAGGCACAGAAACACAAACCCACCAGTGTGTGGAGTGCACTGACAGCAGCAGTTTTTCAGGAGCAAACTGTGTGAAGCTGCTGGCAGCAGATGGGTTGCTTACGACTTGCAATGTCTGGAAAAGAGCAGAGATTGATATAGTTGCTGTCTCATTTTCATTTAGTTTGTTTTGGACCTCTACATGGGTAAGACTGAGTTATTCACCATTTGTCTCCTGGCCGCATACAAGTCATGAGCCACAGGTGTGTGTCATTCACGATAGCCAGAGTAACATTCAGTGGATGATAAACCGAGAGGTGACTCCGGCGTGTTCTTAAAGGCACCCCTGAAGAAAAAACAAGGGCTTTTTCATTTGATCCTTTTACAACCATCCCTAACCTGCACTGAGTACAGAAAGCTGGTTTCCTCTTCCTCCTCAACAGAACAGATCTACACTGCTTTTTGTTTTTCAGATCAAAATCAAGGAAGAAGCCACTTTATGCTACAGATGTGATGCAGACCATTTCTTATACAGCTCGTCCTATTTCACCACACCTGTCTGCCCTACTGATGTTTGATTTGCCGCCTTTGACTTGGCAGATTGTGTTTTCTCAGCAGCAGGTTTGGCCACAGTCACGTTTGCCCCTTTGCTCTCTTGCCTCTTCTCCTGTTTGGCTGCGTCCCCAGAATTGCTATTGCTATTTTGATGAATGGAAGTTGTTGTTTTCACAGGGATGGGTGCTTTCCCCTGGGGCACGCGGGGGTCTTCTCCAATGTCCACGGTGAGGTTGGTGTAGAGAGGCTCCAGCTCTCTGGAAAGGAGCTCGTAGGTCAGAGAGTTGAGGCCGTCAGAGCGCCAGTTGAGTCTGGTCCTTTTCAGAAGGTCAAATCTAGAAAGATAAACAAAGTACCACAGGTTGTGTTTCAGGGGCAAACTTTAAAGCAGTGCTTCTCAAAGTGTGGTCCGCAGACCACCGGTGGTCCGTGAGCGCCCCCTAGTGGTCCGTGAGTATATTGGTAACATTGCACATTTTAAATAAATAAATAAATTTAAGTTTTCCGCACTCTCGTGGGAATATCTCCGCAATGGAGCGAGCTTAAGTTTAACTTTCAATTGCATGATATAGCCCAGCGCAACACCTTCATCACACATGTTGCCACTTGTTTGTACCATTTCCAGGCGATTTGTAATCTGTTCAAGAAAAACGATGTGATTTTGGATATTTGTGGAGTTAGGTGGTCCGCGAGTGTTTTTTTATTGGTTAAGTGGTCCTTGGTGTGAAAAAGTTTGAGAAACACTGCTTTAAAGGAATAGTTTTACATAATGGGAATTATGTTAAGTTGCATATAATAAGATGAGGAGGTCGATACCACTCTCATGTCTGTGTGCTAAATGAAACTGCAGCCAGGAAATGGTTAACTAGCATGAAGACAGGGGAAAACAGCCAGCCTGGCTTTTAAACAAAAGTCTGTTTCTATTGCAATTAAACAGAAGAGATATAATGTGTTAACTATTGAATTCTAGAAGTGCTGGTTAGCTCATGTTGTTACCTTTGGACCGAGGCAGGCTAACAGTCTCCATCTGTTTTCAGTCTTATTGCTAAATTAAGCTAACAGTTTCTAGCTTCATATTTAATGGACTGACATGAAAGTGACCTGATCTTCTGATCTAATTGTAACTGCAAGCGTAATTCCCATTAAGTCAAAAACCAACAATCAACAAATAAGCATGCTGCCCGAGGAAAGAAAAAACATTATTGTAAAAGTTTTGACCAAAAACAAGTTGACCAAATAATTATAATACATATAATATGTCAATATCTTTACATAATATGTGTGAGTGCATCTGCGAGTGTGTACATATGTACCTGCGTGGGTTTTGTTCATTGCCCCGATCTCCTTTATGCTTGATCATCTTGTAATGACCAATGGCCACTGGAGGGCGCATGATCTTCATGCCTGACAGACGAACTCTGGATCGGCAGCACAAAACAAGAGTCAACAGGAACACAAGATTCCCCTTCACAGGCATAGAAACTGTGTCTGGATAATATCAACAAAGCCTGGCACCTTACTATTTATGATATGTTCTATAATACAAAGCAATACTCAACCTTAGTAACTCTAGCCTCTAAGGCAGTGGTTCCCAACCCTTTTTCCCAAGAGCCCCCGCAAATGACTCCTGTTGGAAGTTGCGCCCCCCACACACACACACAGGGGGGGGGGCGCAACAGTGATAATTAAAGTTTAAGAGGCTCAAAAATGCTACTACTACTGTCACAAACTGGATGAATGTGAAGTATTTTGTTAAACGAGGATGAAAGCGTAATTAAGGAGCACTATTGGAGTGACTTTGATGGTTATTGGACTCAGGATTAATTCATTTGGATTCCCGCTGTATGAAGAAATTAAAGGATGGCGCGGAAGTGGAAACAATTCACAAAGGGATTAAACTGTTTAAAACACATGCTCAAAGTAAGCCGGATTTTGCCGATGTGTTTATGTGGATTCAAAAGTCATAAATAATCTACAAAATGGAGGAGACCGATCTGATCGGAGCAACTGTGACACCCAGGTTGGGAACCATTGCTCTAAGGCAGTGGTTCCCAACCTGCAACCAAAGATCGCAGGGGGGGCGCCAGGCCTCAGATGATTTGAGGCCAAATATCATATTTAGACTTTTTTTTTTTTTTTTTACATATAATTGTAAAGCAATACATGATTGTCACTAAAAGCCTTGTGTCTACGTTACAATAAAATATAAAAAATAATTGATTAATTAATTTGAATAACAATTCAAGTTAGTAGCTATTAAAGGCATAAAAAGACAGAAATGTATAATTCTTTCTTTAATAGAAATGTTTCTTCTGCCCGTAAAGTGTCCAAACCGGGCTTTTCTGGATAAGCGCATTTTTAAAAACATAGTCATTGTCCATGCCGGTTTCAGTTGGATTATTTGTCACAGTTGCTCCAATCAGATCGATCTCCTCCATTTTGTAGATTATTTACGACTTTTGAATCCACATAAACACATCGGCAAAATCCGGCTTACTTTGAGCACGTGTTTTAAACAGTTTAATCCCTTTGTGAATTGTTTCCACTTCCGCGCCGTCCTTTCATTTCTTCATTCAGCGGGAATCCAAATGAATTCATCCTGAGTCCAATAACCATCAAAGTCACTCCAATAGTGCTCCTTAATTACGCTTTCATCCTCCTTTAACAAAATACTTCACATTTCACATTCATCTAGTTTGTGACAGTAGTTGTAGCATTTTTGAGACTTTTAAACTTTAATTACCGCGGTTGCACCCCCCCCCCTTGTGTGTGTGTGTGTGGGAGGGGGGCGCAGCTTCCAACAGGAGTCATTTGTGGGGGCTCTTGGGAAAAAAGGTTGGGAACCACTGCTCTAAGGGATACACTTAAAAGCAGTAAAAATTGATGTATTAGGAAAACATACTTTTATGGCCAAAAGGCGGGGAAAACACTGTGGTTCCCTTTTCCCATCTCTGGTTCTTGTGTACACCCCAGTTATCTAAGTCAATGAAAACATGGGGTGACTAATGTTGTTTAAGTTGCAAACAGCATGCACAAAAGGCAATGTTTTACAACAGGTATGGGATAAATGTACAAGTTTTGTTTCATGTAATAATTAGTGCAAGCTTTATAAATGTTGTTTCCTTGTTTCATTGAATGACTCTCAAAACAGAGTAGCAAATGGTAGAAGAGCCAGAGAGTGAAGAGAGGGGACCGCAGCATAGAAATGAGATCAAAACTGCCTAAAAAACTCTTAAAGTATGCAGCCCAGCCCAAATCTGTGAGCTAGTCCATGCAAACATACTCACTGAGCCCACTCCAAGAGACACACAGCAAAGCCACAGCAGTGGGAGGGGACGTGAAGATGAAAGACGATGTTAGGACACATAAAGAAAAGTCAAAGAAAAGGAAAACATGTGGTACATAAACTGTAAACATGAGAAACAACAGAATGAGTTAAGCAAAGTAAATATAAGAAGCGAAGGAGATGAAATAGCTGCGCGTGTATTTCTGATGCTAAACCCCCGTGCACATCTCACATGTCAACATGCAGTTTAGTGTTGTCACCATGCAGGATGTGGACATCTCCACCCTCCTTACCTGGCAGCAATGTCATCGTCCTCTCCGCCCCAGCCCCAGTACTGGTTAGGGAAGCCGTTCATCTTCATGTACTGGTCTGGGGTCACTGCTGACACTCCACCAAAATACTGTGTGTACGGCAGCCTGGGAGGGTCACATTACCAATGAACAATCTTAAAAACGACTATTTCTGCACAAAACATTAAAGGTCTCCTATTATACTCTTTTTCATCAATATATTATAGGTGTCGGATATATAAAAAACATGTCTCTGAAGTGTTTGCCTCGAAATACCAAACAGATCATGCATTGTAGCATCCCATAATCCCCTCTGTTTCAGCCCTGTTTCAAAAGTGCTGATTCTCTGTCTGTTACTTTAAATGAAAATAAGGAGCCACTCCCCACGCCCCTCTGAGAGATATGTAGTTAAAAAGAACACAATGGTGCTCTAGGAGGAGATTCAGGTGATAAGGTGGGGTGGGGGTTACCTTGGTTGGTGATTGGCTAAAGGTTACACAAGCCAAACAATTATTATGACATCATAAAGTGGCCAAAATCTGATCAGCTCATTTTCAGACAGGTTTTTATAGAAATGGATCAGGACAAAAAGTGAGCAAATCTTTTTTTCCTGAAACTTTCAGAATCTCTTTACACATGTTTTTTTCTAGCATAAAATACATGAAAAAGTGGATTTTGCATAATAGGTGACCTTGAATATTAAAGTCCATCCACACACACTGTGCTGCTGCTACCTGTATCTGAACTTGTCCATGGCCACAGAGAGGTGTGTGGGGAACTGTTTGTGGCAGGTGTAGGTGTTGTGGTCGTTTTCGGGCAGCAGGTCGACATCGTGCAGGAAGATGCAGCTCCAGTCTTCATCTCTGAGCGCCTCTCGCACCCCAACATTCAGCAGCTTGGCTCGGTTAAAAGTACTGTTCCCCCACTGAAGCAGACAGAGGGAGAGACACAGCCACAAATAAATGAATAAATCTAAAACAAATACAGGATGAGAGAACACATTGTGTGAGTAAATAATCTCACACTGTGCTGCTATGGTTACAGTTTATCTACAGTGAAGTTATTTCGGATTTTCAGTCAATCCAACTTAGCCGACATAAAAAATATATATCTAGCCATGCACATCCTTTTGCTTTTATTTTGCTAAGGTTTAAAGACACCTGCCTGTGAGATTCAGTGTTTCTTAAATAGGAGTAGCTTCAGGGAAAAGCAGTTATTTTTCTTAACAGTGAATTATCCAGAGTAACCAGGACACCTAAGACACAGTGGGCCTTTTGACATTTTTGAAAGAAACACAAGAAGCACCCTAAAATAAATCCAATTTTCATCCATTGTATATAGGGAATATTAGAGACATACAGCTCTGGGACAAATTAAGAGACCAGTGCAGCATTATCAGTTTATCTGGTTTGACTATTTATAGGTATGTGTTTGAGTAAAAACAGGCACTGGAATGGAATGGCTGTTTGAGATTTAAGACACATTTGGAGTGTATATCTCAAAACTAAACCAAACCTATATGTATATAAATATGTCTATCTGCAGGTCTCCCTTGAAAAAGAGATCAATGATCTCAATGGGATTTCACCTGGATAAATAAAGGTTTTGAATTGAATTGAATAAAGATAGGTACCACAAGACTCTAATAAGATGCAACCTATTCACTCTGAAAAATATACTGATACTAAACTTTGGAACCAGCATTCACACACAACACAAACGCATGCATAACCTGACCTGCTGCACTATATAGATGCTGTAGTGGATCTGCTGTCTTTGCAGGAAAGGGTGGAGATGGTAGAGGAGAGCACGGAGGTGGATCTGCCGGTTCCGGTACGGCACCACTATGGCCGTGTGGTGGCGAGGCTCACAGTCTGGTGGCCGATAGTGTCCGCCTGGCAACACTAACGGGTTCCTCTGTTTGATCTCCTCCAGAGACAGAGGAGAGGAAAGCTTGACAGACACAGGTCCGACTGCAGGAGGAAAGGATAAGTGTGAATACTTGACCCATACAATTGTAGTTTGTATATCAGTTACTCATCCTGCGTTACCTTGAATTCTTAAAGAAACATTTATTTTTACTTGCATGCCTCCCCGGTGAACGAAGAATTCAAAAGTGAATATAAGTAAATAAGGGTCTCCTTTAACAACCACAAAACTATATCAAAACATCTATTTACAAACACACAACTTGTGCAGTATAATCGGAGTCTCAATATTTTGTTATGTTCACTACTTTCCAAACTCATGCATTTTTACTAAAATGAAATACACTGTTCAAGCGGAAGATTTTAAACAGTAAGGTTTTAGAGTAAATAACATAAAGTGTTTCAGAGGTAAAGAGCCTATGACAGAACAAATAAGACTTGGAATATACTATAGTTGTGTGAATGTTTGTGAACTGATGTTTTGTGGAGGCTTGCAGGAACAAATATTTTTTTCAAGAGTTTCCGGCATATTGATTGCCTGCTCAAAATGACACACATCGCTTCCCTGTGCACGTGTTACATTTAACAGCACATATTTAACACCTCTCACTCTCTCACCAAGCAGTGGTGAAGGGATCTGGCAGTCTCTCAGTGGGGGGCCTGTGGCAGGGGGTCCAGTGCCCGAGTTGCGAGGCGGGGGAGGCGGTACTCCCAGATGACTGAGGTTGGTATAGACGTCGTGAGGTCGAGAGTAATCAAACTCCGGGTCTGTGGTATGCACCAGGACCGACACCAAGCCTTTGAAGCCCCCGAGAGAGAAATAGAGAACAAAGGCAAACTGGAAGCCCACCAGCAAGGCTAGTGTGCACGGAGAGTCCAGAGAGCGTCCGTAGCACGCCATCATAAAGTCATAGAGGAAGGGTGAAATTTAAACGCGGGGGAAATTGGATGGAGGGTTGTAAGAAGTGGTGGGGAGGGGGAAGCAAGTAACGGGATGAGGAGGGTGGAGGGAGAGGTGGGATGAGCAAGGGGAGGCAGAAGGAGAGAAGGGGAAGGAGACAGCACTGAGTGTGGGCTCAGGTGTGCAGGAGGTGAGTGTCCATCTGTAGGAATGGGTAGTGATGAAGCACAGTCTGCACTTCCATCACCTCCTGGACAGCCGTCCCTGAGAAGGAAAAAATAATATCTATATGTTATGATATTTATTGTATGAGTTCATTATTTTATAACAATAAAATATGCTGGGTACCTGCTTTCACAAAGGTCTAATGAAAACCTGTCCTGGACCAGGAGGGGCTCACTCCACCTCTGCCTCCTTTCATCTTTAAGCTTTCTGTAAAAAAAAGAAGAGAAAAGTGATTAACAATGCAGGAGCAGATTTGTCTCAGTATGTTATCTACTGTGGGTTATTATAAGCTGCAGAATGACAAGCAGCTACAAACAAATGTCATGTTGGCTTCTTAATTTAGAATGGTTTATTTTCAGCAGTGACATTTCCATGTTGCTTCTATACGGAAGGGACGCTGATAGCTGCAGATTAAATTAATCCAACATAACATGTCTCTGTTTGTCCAAACAATTACATGCTATAGCAAGCCTTGTGGCTTCATTACTGGAGCTGATGTTGAATATCATGACAGGAAACAAGAATCCATTTGCTATTTAAAAATAGATCACAGAGGAGCAAATACAGCGCCATGATTATCAGAGCAGATAGCCTTCAAAACAGGTGATTAGCCTATCAACATATAGCCAGGCCTGTTCAGGCTCTCACGTACAATATTTACGTCACCAAATATGACAATAACATTTGTTCTACAGGATCACTGTCTGCATTATTTCTCCAGTCGGCCACAAAGGATGCTTCTGAATTAAATGATAGGTTGCACCGAAGCTCTGCGCACCAGCCGACTCACCAGCATATCCCTGCGACATTTCAAATCCAACCCCCGGCTTCCTCTGACAGGCGATGGGCCGCTGACACCGAGCAGATTGACTAAAAGATAACCTTTTCCTGGGATGCTGATGGCTCGTCCTCCTAATCTCTCATCTGAGGCGAAATCTCTCCGTAGCTGCTTCCTAGAGAGCGCTGCAAACGCGTTCACACGCAAGAGCATCGCCGCATATCCGTCCGGTGTCAACACAGGCAAGTGCGCGCTGCAGCCTCACCGAAAGACGGCTGATCACCGGATCCTTCCATCAGGGGGAGAAGGGGCTCCGCGGTGACGTGCTGAGCGCCACATTTGAAAATGATATCGTATCACTGATGATGATTCATGGATTAATCTAAACATATTTGCTCATATAAAATGAATTATGATTATCAGCGTAAAATAGAATTGGTTCGCCCACTAGGCTACACAGCAAAAATGTATTTTCGTTCAATAGAAAACGACATAATTTGGCTACAGTAGGCCTATAACTTCCAAATATCACCCAAGCTGTTTAAACATGAAGTATCTAACATAGAGCATCAGCTGAATAATAATCAGAATTATGATAATACATATGCATTTTTACTTTGTATACGATGTCACTCGGTGTGCAACATTTTGTCAAATGTATTTAAATTATCTGAATGTTTATAGTGGCTTCCTTTATTCAGTCCACAACATTACACATTTCATTAACTCTCTTTAAAGTTTAGAAACAAGTCCCATGTATGTCAAATAAAAAATGTGCTTAATAATAATGTTACCGTGTTGTACATATGTCAAGACTTCGAATTTCCTCGGCTGAGGCTTTTAGATCCATTCATCAAATGTTTTCCATACTTATTCTTTATTTCTCAAACAGTATCCAACCCTGGGGCAACAGTTGTTTTCTAACTTTATGCAGCAGGTTAATAATGTCTTTATTCACATGCAGCAGTAGCTTCTCAGATTACAGAACAGAGACAGAACAGAATACTAACGGCTAGAGTAGTTCCACATAGGTCTACCAATGTAAATAGGCCAACCCTTTAAATACCCTGAAGCAGATAAAGCATAATAGAAAATCTGTGCAAAACAATGCATCAACACTACCATTGTTTGTAGCACTATGTGAACACACTGCCTACATTGTCTCAAAGCAAAGCAGATGTGTGTTTTCTCTAAATGGGGCAAAACCCCCACTACCTCTAGTGTCCCCTTAAGGAGTACTGTATTATATAGGAAACAGACAGCATATTTAGTAGGTACAGAAGGTACAGAATAAACGCCTTAAAAAGGCTATTCTGGTGGTTCAGTTAAATCAGTTCAAAGAAAAAAGAGTTTAACACTGATAAGGGGAACCTCAAAATGTACTTATTGCCCTTTTTATTAAGGCCATGATATAAACTTGAATAATGTTTTTTACATGTTGTACCGTTTAACTAACTGTCAGGAAATAGCCCTTAATCTGTGAAATGTTTAGTTGATAGATGATTATTATAATTTAATAATGGGCCAAATGGCTTCAGACCTGTGAAAAAAGGACAATATGATATATCTCCCAAAATAGCACACACATACAGTCATATAGAGAACCTTTTTATATGTATATATAAAACATCTAAAATGCATTGCTTATCTATTTTTTTTAATTTTAATTAAAAATATCTTTTATCACAATAAGGAATATTGTGTGGGAAAAAAAGGAATAAAATGCTTCACAAGTTTTCATTTTCATCGATTAAGGCAGGTGGGAAAACATTATTCTCAGACATTCTCCTCTGTTTCATCCATTTCAAATGGCAAAACATTAAAAACCTTAAATTAAAACATTTGAAAACTCAGGTGAAATAATGCAAGCGCTTCACTTTCCACTCCCTTCAAGTTATGTGATTGCTTTTTAGACTTTCATCAGTTTGTTGCCCATCCTTGCCATCACCTAAAAACAACCATAATAATAAAGATAATAATCTGAAATATGAACTCCCTTCCTCCATCTCTCAAGTTTCTTTAATTGTTTAAATGATCTTCTCCTCCGCCATAACCTTGCCTTTACTCTCTCCATCTCTCTGCATCCCCCTGTCTTTACTTTTTGTAGTTGCCAAACTGAACAGCCAACCGGTCGCTGACACAGCGGAACGTAGCAGGCTGCACCTCCCAGTAGTTGACAGGGTTACCAAACAAGCTGATGCCGTTATAGAAAGTCCTCTTCATCCCAAATCCTCGAGGGCAGAAGTCATCCATGCCCACCTGGGCGATGTTGTTGGAATGGAGGTACACCACCTAAAAAGCAGCAAAATGTAGGGTGAGTGGAGCGCCCTGTGAAATATTCAAAGTCAGATGGCAAACAAAATGTGTCCATGGAAGACTCACATGTAGGTATTTCATATCTGGGAGGCCTTTGGGAACATGAGTGAGGCGGTTGTTGTCCAGATGCAGCTCTCTCAGTCGGGGGAGGAAGGACAGGCTGCCATTCTCTATGTTACGGATATGGTTATAGCCAAGACCCAACCTGGAAAAAGTGAGACAAGGGGAAAAACCTGAAATAGGCAGAAAATAGGCCAATGCACGATACATTTAGCTAAACTGTTTTACTAATGTTAGCCTGAGTATCTCCAGTTCCCTGATATGTATCATTGTAAGAAATGGATGTGAAGCCAGGTGAGAATTCATTCCACGGCAGCCTGGCTCCTGTGACCACTATTTATCACATTAGAGATTAGATGTGTGTTTAAAGGAAGTTAAATACAACTGGACTGTGATAAAGCAACAGTGTAGAGAGGAATGCCTGTGCTTTCCTATTTTGGCAACTTATTGCTGCAAAAAGGTTTATTAAAGGTCACCTATCATGCTATTTTTAGACAATAGCATAGGTCTCAGATATATACAAATATATAAAAAAACATGTCTATGAAGTGTTTTGCTCAAAATACCAAACAGATCACCCATTCTAGCCATGCCTCATATCCCTCTATTTCACTTCCTGTTTCAAAAGTGCTGATTTTGGGTATAAAGCTTTTAAAAAAGAAAGACATTGATACAAAATTAAAAAGGAGGGGGCTGAGGTCATGCGGGACCCGGCAGCTACTGTCTAAACTAAATACTGCAGTGATGAAACGCCATATCATGGATTATCAAGGATTATCTCTGAAACAGTATGGAGCTCAAAGGCTTTCTCTCTTGCCGGTTATACCACAAGGTGAGTTCCTTTTTATATCCAGCTTCTTCACACACATGCTCTCCAGTACAGGTTAGCTCTGAGTGTTAGCGATGCTAATGTAAACACCGACCATATTACGTCCAAAACAGTCGGGCATTGTTTCTGATAGCAACTTTCTGATAGTGCCGTGGGTCCACATTTCCGATATTACGTCATATCGGACACAAATCTAGATCAGCTCCGTTGTACCCCCGTTTTTAGAGATTTGGGTACAGAGGAAAAGAGGGATGGTTTTATTTGCTGACGCTGCGTGAGTTCCCCGACACACCGGGGACACATATTTATGTATAAAAGACATCAAAAAGTGCATTTTGCATGATAGGTCCCCTTTAAGAGAATACTGAGGGGGGAAAGTCCACACAAGCATAAGGTCGCAGTTTTCCTGCTACTTTTAGTGGCATCTCAATGTAATTCATACAACTCCCCCTGAGGGATACTGCTGCCTGGAATGTTCTTCTTCATTTCAAACCACAGGATAATTCTTCCAAGATATGCAAGTAAATACCTGAGGGCACAAGAAAGTTATGGTTAGAAATTAAGTGGTGATTAAGTGCAAAAGATACCTGAACAGGTTTTTGTAGCGGCTCAGGTCCTCCAGTTCCACAGCCTGGATCTGGTTGTGATCTAGATGAAGCTCATGGAGACTGTCTGGGAGATCTGAAAGAGAGACACTATACCTGTAAGACTTAAGGGTAAGATTTGATATTTCCCATAGCTATACATTTATTTTATAACACTAATAAGATATATTATATATAGATATAAGTAGCTAGTTAGAGTAGATATCAGAATAATGATACCATTTAAATGTCAGTTAAACATGAAGCCACAACTAGCCATTGATTAGCCTAGCTTAGCATAAGGACTGAAAACAGGATAAATAGCTAGCCTGGCTCGGTCTGAATGTTAAAAAAAAGATCTGCCTACCAGAGCTTCTAGAAAAACGTTTGACATTATCAAACCAAATTGATCAAAAATATGACACATTCCGTGAAACAAGTCATTTTACTGTGCTTGTGATGCTCAAAACTATTTAAAAAAAAGTTAATAGCAGTAACACTGTAGTTTAAGGCAGAGCAAACGCCACATGGCAGTTATTCTAGTGTTTCTGTTTGTAGATTATAATGTATTCAAATCACTTAATTGCAAGTAATCCAGTTAATTCTGTATCATGAATGTCAAAGCTTTTATCTTGAAAATGATTGAGATTGATCAGCAAACTCTGAATAATATATATTGTTATGTTTAGCGTACAGGCATGAGAGTGCTACCAATAAGCATATCTCCCAAATTGGGGAACTATCCATTGTACATAATTATGTTAGCATGTTAGCCACACAGATAAATGGTTACCTTTTGGCACCCCAGTCAGTTTAGCCTCTGATATGCGCAGATAATTCAGTTTCAGTCCCTTGAAGGCTCCTGGCTCAAAACCGCTGTTGTGGATGGGGTTTGCGCCCATTTCTGAAAGATAAAAGGAATATTTGAGGCACGAAATAAAATACAGACTCTTTAATCTTCTATAGAGTGGCAAAGGCAGTGGTGAGAACCCCAGAGTTATGCCTAGATTTGTTGAAGTCATTTCTGACCTATGCAGTTCATGTTTCCCAGTCCTGCGAAGGCACCAGCTGCCACCTTCTTGATGCGGTTCTCATGGATCCTGATCTCAACCAGAGAGGCGGGCAAGTTCTTTGGGACAGTGGTCAGCAGATTCTTGGAGAAGTACAGCTTCTGCATGTGCTTCAGAGGCACAAATGTTCTGGGGTGGACTTTGGAAATCAGGTTATTCCTCAAAGATAGGCCCTAGAAAAACAGAAACCATGGATAAACCAAATTAAACACCCACTGTAGCACCCAGACAGTCAGGAAATTAGAAACAAATATGAAACAAGGGCTTGTTTTTCATCCTCTGTCTCTACTGAATGTTTTTTAGTGAATTAATAAAGATCCAGCGACAGTCCATCACCCAGCAGACTGTCTCGCCACCTGCACTGGCTGCAATATGGAGACAGATGAGGCTAAGGTAAACAGACCTTAATAAAGATGTTATTGTATAATGTCATG